GCTAGAAAACAGCTTCAGACCAAACAATGATATATGCCCTGTAGAATAAAAAAATGCTAGTTGCAATTTTTTCCTTTGCACGGTTTTTGCGCAAATGTTTATCAAACCGGTATTTTTAGGAAAAAATTTACTAAATTAAAATTTAGTGCACAGAAACATAATATAATACCCAGTTTTTTTGTCAAATATGAAAGATGGGATCATGTCGGGTACATAGATGCCAAACATGTCAAGCCTTAAAATTGCATTCGCCCTTGAAGCCGCAAAAAAAGTCAATACCCCAAATTTCCCATAGGGAACGCTTTTAACGCTCATCAGTTTAGTGCTAACAGTGATTGATGGCCCTAGAATTATTGCTCTCACTCCGACATTTGCGGCGATATGTAACGTGTAGCGCAACTGTCATTTCTGCGCATGGGCGCACCGATGCATGTTTGCGCGGGTATGTGCGTGCACGTGGGGAGCGGGGAACTTAAAAACATTTTTTGCATTTTTTTCTTTTATATGTTACTTTCATTTTTATAATTTTCAAACACTTTTTTTTTTACACTAACCTTATTGCTATCACATAGGGGGCTAACAAGCCCTCTATGTAATAGCAGATAGAGTGGGACAGGTTCTCTTTATGGAGACATCAGGGGTCTTTCAGACCCCTGTCACCTAGGGATCCCTAAGAAGCTGAGGAAGCAGAGATCTGCTTCCCCAACTTCATCTCCTGGCTCTAAGAGCCGGAGACTGTAAGAGTGACACCGGAAGTGATGTAATACACATCACTTCCGGGTCCAGTGAATGATCCGGCGGCTGTACAGACGTCAGATCACTTGTACATTAACAGCAATTGCCTGAGAGCAGCCGTGTTCTTGTTTTAACCACTTCTGCGGGCCACCGTCTATAGACGTATTGCGGCCAGGAAGTGGTTAAGGATCCGATGAGTATATATTTTGTTTTTAGACCCTAGACCAGTGGTGGCGAACCTTGGCACTCCAGCTGTTTTGGAACTACAAGTCCCATGAGGCATTGCAAGGCTCTGACAGCCACAGACATAACTCCCAGAGGCAGATGCATGTTGGGATTTGTAGTTTTGGAACAGCTGGAGTGCCAAGGTTCGCCACCACTGCCCTAGACCAAAACGATTACTTAACCCTTGCAGGGCAGGGGTAGCCCCACTGCAAGGGTTAATTTGTCATTTGCTCTGAGTTCTTCTTTAAACTTCTTATTGCTGACTGGACATTTTGAATTGAAATGCATGTTAATCTTATTATAGTTACTGGTTGCCAAGGACATATTTATTTAAACAAGTTTGCTCATAAAATTTAAATTATGTATAGGAACGTTCCATTCTTACATGGTTGAGCAAAAACATAGCAGACACAATCAATAAAAAGTATATGACTCAGCATGCATTGAATCATGATCACTTCAGTCTTATGATGTCTTTCTTTCCTAATTTATCTGCATTGTACAATTATGTTAATGCCAGCAAGCTATGATTAATCACAATGTTTATTTTTATTGATAAACAGAATGCTACAATATCTTATGATATGTATAATCCTCCGTGATCCATTTACTTCTGGACTGCTTTAATACATTGAAATTAATCTCTTCATGCAAAAACCCGAGGGAGTTTTTAACTAACCAAATTCTTCCAAATTAAATAATAATGCTTACATCAATTATTTAAACAAAAAAACGCTTACCACTGAAACTTAAATAAGCAGGAATGTGTTTCTTTTTAGAGCAGGTTATAAGTGAATAAAACTTGGACTACAGTTTCTCATACAACTTGCCCAACAGACTGAAGTGGTACTTGCATAGTTAATTCCATCTCATTGACAAGAGGGAAGGTTTGACAAGGTTACACAGAGATTTGCCTATAATAGCGGTAGGCAACCTCCGTACTCCAGCTGTGCTGAAACTACAAATGCCATCACCCCTCTACCCCTGGGAATCATGCCTGTGGCTGTCGGAACCTTGCAATGCCTCATGAGACATGATGCTTCATAAGAGTTGGAATGCCAAGGTTGTCTATCCCTGATATACGGTACAACATTTTAGAAAATCTGTGATAGGGAGTGCCTCAATATTAAAAGCCTAAAAAGGAGGATGAAAAGGTTTGGATAAATATTATAATATTAGAAAAGCAAACAGGGGAAATGAGGGGAAGGTTCAAAAAAATCAACTCAAAATATTCAAGGTAATTATTTGGAAGACCTGAGGTTGATCTAAAGGCAAATAGGATGTTCACTTTGCAAGGGAATTTGGACATTGCAGGGAAATTTTCACTTAGCTTAATGAATGTGGAGGAAATTTCACATTGCAAAGAATACCCAATCACATGCAAGGAAGACAAAAAAAAAACAAAGGAGCAGATTTGCACTGCAAACAAGCAGCATCTCTGTCTTCTTTTCAAATTTTACCTGAGAAAACTGAAGAGAGATGCTGATTGTTTGCCATGCTCCCCTGCAAATTACAAATTCCCCTGCAAATTACAAATTCCCCTGCAAATTACAAATTCCCCTGCAAAGTATACAGCATGCTGTCCTTTAGTAAATCAACCAAATGGCATTGTTAAACTCCAGATTTTCGCTGCTAGGCATCAGTAGGCAGAGAGTGACATGACTTAGATATTTTAATACCTCCTGCACCTGCACTTTTACTCCAAGCATATTTTCTGCCCTGGATCAGCTTGTCACTCTCTTTCAGACTACTGAGCCAGGAAATGGATAAAGCACCTTTTAATCATAACTGGCCTTGCCTTTACGATCAGTTATTTTATCCATTTCTTGACTTGATAAGCAGTCCCATTATGTTTGACTGTGTTTTTATTCAGTCATGTGGCAGCAAAGCTTGTATGTCACTTTCATCAGCAGGAGCCATTTGACACAGAGCCCGCAGTACAATATGGGCAGTGGGATGATGTGAAGCATAGAGGAACAATCAATGCCATAATGTTCTGGTGAGCCAGTCCAACAATTTAAGATTGTCCTTAGGATTCTGTCTTGTGAGCCATCACCTAATGGGCATATGTTGTGAACCCATTAAATGTGTACATGTGAAAGGCCAAATTAGGTTTTGAGGATATTCCCCTTAACTTGACTGGATATTTGTAGTGTGCACAGAGTAGGATAAAAATTACTTTAGTAAATTAGACGTCTGATTTATTGCACATAAAATGCCAACAGCACATGTCCATCCAATGTGAAATGGCCGTAAACAGTAGTCCTGTTAAAAAATGCTAAAAGGCGCTCACAAAATTCTCCATGGGATATAACATGTCCATCCAATGTGAAATGGCCGTAAACAGTAGACCTGTTAAATAGATGCTAAAAAGCACTTACAAGGTTCTCCTAGGCAGTCTGGTTTTGATATGGGAGATCAAACTGTATACACACAAACACCAAAAAAACCTGCACTGGCTTCATAAATGATGTAGGCACACATTTAATAGATTAGGAACAAAAAATAAATGAAATAATATGACATAAAGTAAAATAAATAAATGAAAGGTCTTATTAATCCATAATGGCAGCCTTGCCTGGAATCCTCAAATACATTTATCCACATAACTGACAATGTCACTGTAACAATTAATTACATATGCGTTGCAGGGTAATGCCTTTTTGGCCCTGATCACCTTCATAGGGATATTGTCTTGTTATTTGTGGGTTCCAGAGGAGGCTGCCATTATGGATCGATATGTTTTTTCATTTTTTAATACTTGTGAGTGGTTTAATTCCTTCTTTAATAAACAAATGTGTATCTCAAGTGTAGCCAAGCTCTGGCCCTACAGTTTCCTAGCAGTTTCCTCTGTAAAACTCTTGTGATCTGCAGCAGGTGAGGGGCGCTGTGCAATTCAATCACAGCTGCCTTAGATTTTAAAAAATGCAGCATGGAATATCACAAAACAAAGAATGGAACTTGAGAAGATGTCTTAGCTCTATGACGGCCTATCGGTATATTGGTATATCGGTTATATTAATGTTTTACACTACAGCATGGTGGAGGTTTAGTGTCATGTGGTTGTCACTCATGTACAATTAATTATATTGTTCAATAAAAATGTTTTTTAATGAATTAAGTGGTTTCTCCGACCCTTTATAACTACTTTGGCCTGATTCCTCTTTTGAATCAGTACCGAGTCCTTTCCATTATTGTATGTCTAGTTAAGGATTGTCAAGTATAGCCACTAGTAAATCTCATTCAAGAGGAAATGGTTAACAAATACGATATCCATGTCTTTTGCTATCGGTATATCTGCCTGAGGTTCTGCTGTAAAAATAAGCTAATTTTTTAATATTTTATGGATTGTAGTTTGGCTCTTAATCCGATATACTTTAAGTAAAACTCCAGTTAAGCTGGAATTTATAAGCAAGTGTTTATTCTACTAAAAATCATTCAAAAAGCATTTAGATACCTTCCTCAGAGACCGCAACATACAGGGATACAGGTACACTTAAAAACAAGGATGGAAAAGGGACTCATCTATAGGGATGAGCCGAACACCCCCATGTTCAGTTCTAACTCGAACTTTCGAACATGGAAAAAGTTCTAATTCGAACTTAGAACTCAATTCAAGTCTATGGGGGTAGAACTCAGAAAATTAAATGTCCCCATTTTGAAGCCTTATATGCAATTAATTGGCCATAAAAAGTGTATGGGGATCCGGGTACTGCCCTGGGGGAATGTACACATATACATATGCACAATCACATACATACACACAAAGGTTGGACTTGATGGACCTGAGTCTTTATTCAACCTCAAATACTATGTAACTATGTAACTCCAGGTAAGTGCCTGACTACACAGTTTAAAAAAGCATTGATAAAAAAAGAGGATCTAGCACAGTTTGGTAAATATTATTAACAGACTATACTCACCCTACCAACATCTAATGTATGATCTATATTAAGTATGATATCTTTGGTTCCCCTTCAATTTATAAAAAATAGAGCACTTGAAAAATTCATACTAATTACAGGAATGTGTTGTTTCAGCTGTTAATTATCGATGGACAACATCTGAGGAGTGATCCAGCTATTGTCATGGATGCTATGCAGGCTTTTCTAGGTGTCTCTCCTCATTATAACTACTCAGAGACTCTAACGTAAGTATATTCTCTTTTTACTCCTACTTTGTGTTATGAGGCACCATTAAACACTGACATAAGTAGCCTCCATATTATTATGTATATCAAATGAGGGGTGTCGCATAATTCAATGTTATTATATATAATTTATGGACAATGTCTGCCTTTCTCAGTCATTGGAAAATATGTTCATTGTAGTCAAAACTGTGCTTTGGGAATAATTTAACAACTCAGATCTACTTCACTTTCAAAGCACATTGTGTAAAGTGCCCTCCAGGGGAATTAAGGAAAACATTATTATGTAAGCTCTGCAGTTAAAAAATCTAAGAAAAAAATAAACCAACTGCGCTACCACATGATTAATTTGGTGAAATGTGTACTCAGTTTAAGACAGAACATGTGACATCTAGCTAGCTCTGATTGATAGGTAGACTGGGAAATTCTAAAGGTTTTGCCTCTCATTCTCCACTTAATTATTTTATACAGGCATGGTGGAATAATTACATGTGTGCAATGTTATCATTAAAGTAAGGGCAACTAAAGGTTAATCATGAGCATATAAACTTGCTTCTTGATTATTGCAACTATAAAACACTTAGGGAAAAATACTTTTATAAAGAAAGTCCATTTCAACTATGCTTTAGAAAAAGCATCATTATAGCTGAACTTCAGGCAAACAACTAAATGCACAGTTACATGCATATATGTCATAGTAAATCCGACCTAGTCTAGAATTGTTCTAAGGAGACAACAGTTCCAAAGCACTTTTACCTTTTAAATACTAGAACCTCAGTGGGCAGTAATAGCTCTGGCAGTTAAATAGTTGGTTTAGCACCAGGAAAGTGCAGGGCATAATCCAGACATGGGCAGTTTGAATTTTACTGAGATCAGTTTGAAAACTAACTGTAATTACCTTAAAAACATTATATGCCATGGCATGTGTACCTTGTTTTACCTGCCAAAGAATTTTCTGTAGAACCAGTCATCCCTGCAAGACTGCACTACTAAATGACAGTTTGGTCATCAAACCCCAATTTAATTTTACAATGAAGGAGCATCTCTGCATTGATGAGGTCATCACATTTCTCTTTTTTGCTGTCAAAAATCTCTAGGTGATAAACTGGCAGCGCAGGGTAGATCAGCATAGCCTCATTGCCTGGCAGTGCCAACCCTCCCTATATTGTTACTGGTGCAAAATGGATTACAGAAAGCTATTATAAAGACAAATTTAGGCAGTTGCAGTTACATTTTAAGTGATCCTCTGGCTAACATCAGTTCGGGCAAAAAGATTACCTTCAGATGCTGAAAAGGAATACTCACCTTTCTTACTGCCTTTGCTGCCAAATGCTGCTCCATTCAAGTGGAATCCTATGCTGAAATTTGTTAAGAGACCAATGATTCCAAGAGTATCAATCTTCACTGTTCCCAACTGTGCTAAGTGTTTCCTCCCACCATCCTCCATGTCACAGGACAAATTGATGCTAATGATTTTTTAATGAATGAAAAACTTCAATGGCTTGCCAAAAATGTAAATCCTTTGGTAAGTAAAACAGTACACATGTATATGTACTTAGTAATTTTCCTGGAGTACGACCTTAAGTATGCCACAAATGTATTAAGCCAATACTGAAAATGATTGTCTATTATTATGTTGTGTAACCTCTCCCCACTAGAACAATACATGTCTGGCACACCAGGCGCACAGGCCAGGATCCTCATGGTCCCATGATTCACAAATATTTACTATACAAAGTGAAGCAAGGGATCCTAGATGGTTTTTGTGTTCCATTTCTTATTTTTTCATTAATGAACTCAAGCACATTGTAGTAGGCATGTTGCCAACAGACACTGGAATTGAATACATGAATGTGAGTAATGTCCCGTGCGCCTAAATCAACTATGTATGTCATGCTATTGTAGCAAACTTATAGTGCTTCAAAACAATATAACAGACTTGTGTTGCTTCAAAGAATGTAACAAACTTATAGTGCTTAAAAAGGATGATGGTAATCCACTTTAGTCATAGATATACAATGCATATAGAAGTCCACTTGTGATGAATATTCCATGCGATTAGAAAGTGAATTGCTCACCCAGATTTGGGATGAGTAAAATTAGCAAGTTATTCCTCCGTGTTCCTTATGACTTCCACCTGCCACTCCCAATAGAATAACTCTCACCTTCTTGATGCGACTTTGTATTATAAAGGTCTAAGAACACCACTTCCCCTTTTCAGTCACAGACGAGATGATACCCGGTGTTTAGCAAGGAAAAAAATCCTCTTTTTACTCCACAGTTCAGGTGATATTCTCCATTGGTAACACGCTCCCAATCGATATTACGAATTTTAGCAGATAGAGACAAAAACAGGACACTCCATAGTGTACTCCATAAAACCACTTAAAGTTGAATGTGATAAAGCATACTCACAAACAAAGATGATAAAAAAAGCATCCAAAAGAGATTAAGATTCTTCTAGTACATATTGCAGCACTGCCGTCTTTCGGCTTGCTCCCAAGCTCCTCCTGTTGAGCGCGAAGTTGCATAACATATATAGACACTGGAATTGGGTTATATGAAACCCCTTTTTTCAGACACCCCTCTTACAACTAATGCTGAATGGGCTGGGATAAATGTGGCTGTGCACCTGAATGTTTGCATAGGCCTGGTTAGCTGGACTGGTATCATTTGGGGAAGGGAACAACACTTTCTTACATGTATGATTAAAAAAGAGTGATTTGAAAAGGAAAGGAAAAATAACAAAAGCAGGTTTAGTAGATCAACCCCAAAAGCCCCGTATGAATGCAGTAGTTTGGTTCACTTGTCTCCTCACAAACAATATAGACACATAACCTCTGCTGCTTTAGGCCCATAGAAGTAAGTGTTTATGCAGTAGTCCAACCCTTTGAAATACTAATATGAACATGGGGTAATGCCATAAAATAGGAACATACTGCCAAAATTTGTGTCACCTTACCAGAGAAGTCATGTTACCAAAGAAGTAGCTTTAATTAGTGATGAAGTAATGAATAAGCTGCTTGCTTCACTTTACCTCTTTGTGCCCTGTACTCAATTGACAATGAAGGCATAAAGGAATGATTTTCATGCCTCTGCCCACTATGCCAAATATTTAGTGGAGGGTATTTTGATTTCTTGTTACTCACATCATCATGTCTTGAACGGTCAATTAGTGACATAAGTTAAAAAAGATTGTTTGTTATGTTTAATAATGTTTTTTCCTAGGTTTAGTCCAGAAAAAGGCTTCTGGTGCCAATTATTAGAAGGTGGTAAAACAAAATGTCTTGGCAAAAATAAGGGTCGTAAATATCCAACAATGAATATAGAGGTAACTTTTCTATCAATATGTCATCAGCTTTTAACAGCCTTTATATTGTGCCAGAGTTTTCTGATTTTAAACATACGACTTGCTTTTGCTTAGTTTTAAAGGGCATCTAAAGACAAAGCTCTTTTTTGGATAGAGTAGGGAATGGTTAAAACTTATTTCAGTTTTTTTTTACTGTCCTTATCCCATTGGGGAGATTTCACTTCCCCGTAGAAACAAAGTGAAGTTAAAAGAAATCTTTCCAAAGTGAGGAAAGTCCTCCTTAAACAAGTGCACCCTTGGGAAGTTTTCTCCTCTATTCCTGCTTCATTAATGGTTTAAAATATAGGATGTTCCCTCAATTTATCTGCCAGTGGTTACTGGGAAAGAGAGAGTGAATCTCCCCAGCAGGGAAACAGATGGGAAAAAAAACATGAAAGGGGTTCTAACCTTTACCACTCTATCCAAAACAAAAAAAGGTTTTTGCTTTAGATACCTTTTAAGTAAATGTTTGTGTTTTTCTCTTGCAGTAGAGAATCAGTGGGCCTAATTACATATTATGTTTAATATTTGTGCTTTAGATGGCCTGTTCTACTAGTTAAGGTCAGCAAAATTCTTCCCATGCAGTGAAAAATATCAATACTGCTGCCCCTTGATGTAGTAGTCATGTTATGCTTGTGATGACATCATTTTGCAACCGGGCTCGATTTATAGTGTGCTCTAAAAGCATCATAGGGACTTTAAAGGTATATGATAGTTTGCCGCTAGTCTTTATTTATCAAGTGCAGTAGGTCTGGTAATACTGTATCTGCTAGTTGACCAAGTTCAGGTCTTTATTGCATGATGACCAGGCGATTCATATTTGTCCAGCTATCTTAACTCCAGGGAAAAAATTCTTAACTCTTGCAGTGAGGCTACCCCCACACTTCAAGGGTTAGGTACTCATTTGTGTCTAGGGTAAAAAATAAAGTTACACTTACCAGAACCTCAGATTGAGCAAGCTCTAACAGTTCTCCCTCCGGCATGCCTCCTCTTCTACTGCAATGGTCTATCCCTCGGCATCCTCGCATCCTATACACTGTATAGAACGTGATGACTCCAGGATCCTTAGACCACAGCAGCGGAGGGGAAGCACGGTGGAAGGGACCAGTCTAAGAGCCAGCCCACTCCCAGGATCAAGCGAGTATAACTTTTTTTAACCTAGGCACAAATAAGCACTTATTTTTTTCCCTGCAGAGTTCTGCTTTAGGCCTTGCCAAAATATTTGAACAATTTTGATTTGTAACATGGAGATCTGTTAGGCATATTAACAAAAGTTATGCGATATGCACTAATATCTTTAATCATTAATATTATTTATAGTACAATAAAGTTTGCCTTGTTCAGATTGCTTTTTTATTTTTTATTTTTAAATATACATTAAAATGTGTCCCCCTGTACCCTAGACAATATTTTCAGCAAGCTATATATTGATACCAACCATTATTCCAACCAGAATTGAGATTGTGTTTGGGGAGGAAAAGGGCCAAAAACTAGCATGTTCCCTATCTCAAAACAACAGCCTTTCACTCAAGGACAACTGAGTTATATTTTCCTGCAGTGCCAAGGACTGTGGCTCTTGGAGTGGGGCTTGGTGGGGTGGTTGGCACGCTTATGTGAAATTGCTCCCCATCCATGAAATCTTTCTTGACATTTTTAAGATAACCATTGTATATGGGAGCTATTTTACCTGTCAAAAGAATTTGCATATCCGTCCATCCATTTCTGAGGTTTACATGGCCACTGCTCTCTCCTTCCTGTCTAACTCCACCAGAATTTTTCTCATCTTCTCTGCCAGAGTTTTTTCTCCTCAATTCCAGTTCTATCTAACACCCACCCAATAGAAAGAGGCAACATCTCAAAAATAAGGACACGTACAGTAATAAAAAGTTAAAAGAGGTTCTAAACCTTCAACATTAAAATAAATGTTTAAAGTCCAATTTGACCTTTAATAAATGTTTATAAATGTTTTTTTAGTTTGATATGAACTCCGTTCATGTTCTTCTGGTTTTAGTGTTGCTTTGTACTAAAAGAGAACTATGGCCAAACCTTTTTTGGCTGTAGTTCTCTTTAGGGTCACAGGAGGACAGCTACTAATGTCCTCCTGTGACACAAAACTCAACATATAGAAGGTTATTGCCTTCTATATGCTGACAGTGCAGAACCCCGTTGCAGCCAGTGAAGATCCCAACAATATTATCAGGATCCGCTTCGCTGCCTGATTGACAGCTGTCTCTCCCTCTCTAGAGCCATAACCAGCTGTGCCCACTCCCTCCCCCATCTCTCCCACCATTCAGCGCTGGAGAAACAAGAGGACAGGAAAATCTCAGAGGGGAGCGGTAACTGACAGTTACCGCTCTTTGCAGGGAGAAGATCATGAAATTAGCAATCAGTGGTATGTGATAGCTTAGTTCTCAATCAATAGAGCCGACATTTTCTGTTCTGTTGACAACATTTTACTAGACAGGAAGTGAGCGGAAACTGTGTTACTGTTGCAGATTTTTCCTCACTTTTTGTCTGCTGAAACCATTATCAGTAGAGGAAGTAACGGTACATCTCTCAAACATGGCCTCCAGGAGAGCAGTACAAATCTGACAGGAGTTCTAATCCTTCCCCACGCTATCCAAAACTAGAAAAACTGTTTTGGATTGACATACACTTTAATATTATTCTTGAAAAGGGTGATTATTTTAGTATGTACACTCTGCTGTAAAAAAAAACTGTTTTGCAATAAGTTATAACCACTGACTATTTTCTTTTCAGTCAAGAGCTTTTCTTTCAAGCTATTACCGGGACTACAACATTGAACTGTCCAAACTTCTACATAGACTGGGATTACCTTTACCATCCTGGCTGAGGCAGGAGCTCCAGAAAGTGAGATAGCATTGAAGACATCGACTAATACACAATTTCAGCCTTGTGGTTTCTCCGCTAAGAAAACAAAATTAGAAACAATTCCCCTCCCTCACACTTACAAATATTAGTCACAGTTCCCAGAACAATTCACAAAATCCAAGAACACTTTCTTATGCATAAGGTGCCACTTATCAGCAGTTTTACTGTCAGATCAATCTCAGTACCTGAGTTGAGATTTTCTGTAATTGAAGGTAATATCCTACATTAAACATGAGACTCACACTGCACCCATTTCCTTTTGATAACAAGAGACTTCCAGTAACAGTTTTATGATTGGAATCCTTCATTTAATACAACATGCACTACTGTCTGAGAGAACCAAAGCAGAAGTAGATGCAGTGGATTTAAAGGTTAGTGTTACAATCAGGTTGCATAAATCAGTATACATCTTCATAATAAAATACCATTTTTTTAACGTATATCATTCATGCAGTACTGTAAGATTTACTTCAAGCATTTACAATGCCCGCAATATGATGTGTTTTCTTCATCAATCACAATCTTGGTATTGTGATTTTGCTATACACATTTATAATGCTTTTGCAAAAGCAATAGGGTACACTATGTGTAGCACCTCCAGCTGTGATGTTCAAAAGAATTTAGTTCAATAATAGCTTCCTGCAGCTCTTAGAAGTGCTGTATAAATTGTATTTTTTCCTTTTTGGTCAATGATGATTTTTTTTTTCTCGTAGTACACATCTAGTGCCTAAACGTCTATTTGATTGTATTTTTGACGGAAAATCTGACTGCAGTCTTTGCCATAATGTCACCAGAGCTTTATAGTAATCCTTGAAAGGTCATCACTGTACAAAAGCTTTCAGTTCAATTATACTTACTGAGTCACAATGGCTAAACGTTAAGAACCCAATTATCAGTTTTTACTTCCAAAGTCTTTAGTGCTGAGCTGACTAATGCACAGGAATCTAAGAAGTTCTATAATTCTCTTGAATGAAGTTTTGGAGCATTTCAGATATAGAAATTGATTATAAAATTGTATGTTAATTGAAATAATATAAATACTGTTGATGCAATCATGTTTAAGTAGGTCATGTAATTGTAGCCTATACATTATAAAATTTTAAAGCATAAGAATGCACTCCTGTAACAGGTATAACACAGCTCATCTATTTTAAGGATTTGTATTTGATCAGTCAAAAGCTTATTTAGAACTAAGGTATTAATTCTGAAAACGTTTTTAAACTGGTGTATTAATTTGATCAAGTGTCTAATAGTCTAAATAGAAAATTGTGCAAAAGATCTGTTTCTTTTCAGCTTTAAAGACTACCTTTTGTTTCTAGCTTTTAAAGAAAGAGAGTCAGCTTTAGGAAGGTTTGGTACTTATACATCAACCTTATATATCCTGCTGTAGTTGTAGAGAAATAAACCCCTACTGTATGTATGTTTTAGGGTAGCTGAGATGGTTTAAAGTTCAAAAGCCAACATGTCTCAGTGGCTTCTTATGCTCTTCTGTACATTACCCCAGGCAGCTCTGGGTCACTAAAAACTAGATAAAACCTGGTATCCTTACTTCCGTACAGACTTCAACTTTATGGTGCTATTATTATAGCAAGTAACTGATCTGCAGTATTAATATGAAAATATAATGAACTAAAGACTCTGGAGTTGCCAAAATGTATAAATAATTCCCTTCATCTATCCAAACAGAAGCCATAACTTATGTAATGACAGCTGTTATTATTTCAAGGGTTGGGGGAACGTATTCACTTATTGGAAACTAAGCCAGATCTCAGCAAGTACTGTAATGTACTGTGTGATAGTTTGGGGAATATAGCACAATGGTAAGCGCTAAGTGACCACTCCTGAAGCCGACTTCAACATAAAAAGACAGTCTTTATTTATCAAAAAGGTCCACAGTCCATGATAAAAGAAAAAGAACAGTTCATTGGACTTGCATCACAACAATATGGTTTGGGTCTCACTGACATCTGGCTGTCCCACGAACTCCCTGTGTGATAGTCCCAGGATTTTCCCTGGAAATACAGTCCTCAGCAGCTTTCCTCAACTCAAGGCCTGTTAGTATTCACCCCTCGTGGGTCACCGTCTCTCTCTGTCTCCCCGACAGGTATCTAAGGGTCACTAATCCTCTGGACCTCTCCAGCCTTCCTGACTGTGTCCCTTGTGCTCACGCACGCAGCAGAGTCTGCCTGTCACCGTGTGCCTCTTGCACACCCACAACTCTCCTCTAATGCACTGGGCTTGTTTCCTAATAAGGCTGCTTTGAGCCACCTGTTTAGCCCAACCTGGCCACCTGCAACACCTGGCCCCAGTACTGGAGATCCCATCCCACTATAGTCTGGAAAACCTGGAAGGAATTAAACAGCCAGTTCCTCCTCTCCAAAGGTATTCACATTGTGGAACCTCTCAGCCCCTCTGGCAGAGAGTCATGGGCACCAAAGTTGCCATACTACACAGTGGCATTGCCATGCACTGCCACAACTGTAATATACAGTATTTACAGTATAGTCATGCAAGGTTCTTGCTTTTTTGAATGGATCTGGGGTTTTTCTTCAACTGTATAATTTATATTTACATGTTTTGATTTTATTTTAACTGAATTTTTTTTGACAATTCAGTGCCACCTGTAGGGAAACTGCCACAGATAGGATGCAGACCCATTAGGCTTGCATGAAGCTGCTATCTCTTGCACGGAGTATATCAACTTTATTATATGTTTGTAAAGAACTGGAGTGATTTTTTTTTTTATGAGCAGGAGTTAACTTAAAGCTTTTCCATGCATAATCACAAGAAGAAGATCCATGCAAAAAAGCAATGGTACCATTGTGGGTTTCTATTGATTATATCAAGCTAAAAGTGCAATGATATCTGAAACTGCAATGCAATAAAATATTGCAATGCAATAAAACTGCAATGCAATGAAATCTGACACAAAGCTTGATACCAGAATAGTAATAGCAGTTTTTTCTGCTAGTTCCATGTCCACTTTTTCTCATTTGGTGCTTGTTGGGTTTCTCGCACTGCTTGCAATACACATTTTTGATTTTGAGAACAACATAACAGACCTGATTCACCAAGCTACCAATTAAGACATGCTAAAGCCATCTATGTGATCATTATGTTGCATACAATAACACATGGAATAATATTGCTTGAGAGGCCACTTAAGCTTTACGTTCTACTACAGGACCAATAAGTCTTCTCTTTCTGGTTATATGTTGTATTTCTCCTGCTATAGGAAAAATACACAAAAGAAGATTTTCCATTGTGGCCTACACAATGGTCTGTTGCTAAAATGGTGAGCATCTGAAACTCAAAGTCACCATTTTCTTTGTGCACTGGAAAGCATTGAGGGACAAATTATTTTGGGATTACTTCTTTTATACTAAGGGTTGATATTATAATATAGATGTGCCCTGTCCTTTTAATTATATTTTTATACTTATGAAACTCGTATATCTCGCTGGAATCTGTTTGTGAGTCAAAACACAAAATACAGTACAGATAAAGCAAACACTAATCTATTCTTGTCTGAATGTATTATTTGTATCACAATTTAAATGGAATCTGTCCCAAAAACGTCAAGTATCAGTCAGAAGCAGGTATTCCTTGAGTCATGGAGTGCAAAGTAGTTCTACATTTTCTTACTTTTACTACAAGTGATGACAATTTCCTGAGATTATTTTGTGGCCTAGAAGCCACTTGAATAAGTTGTTTCTGAAACAAGTGTTTTACATTAGTAAGGCTCCCTTAAAAGAAAAAAAAGAAAACTGTATAGCAAATTACAATAAAGGGAGATTTTAGTGTACATTATTTACTATCTACATGAGAGAGAGGTCCATGTTGCAAGGGCTTTCTAACTTGGTAGAGGGAAGACACTGTCCCACTGCAACTCCACTCAAAATAAATTAAGTTGATAAGTCATTCATGCGATGCAGTTTACGTATATGGCACCTGAGAAATCACGTATTTACTTGCTAGAGCAAATAATCAAGTTCACTCTGCCAAAAGAGATGATTTCCCATAAACTACACATCTCTATAGATTATTCTTTATGAACAGTAGAGGAGGATGAACATTGTACCACGTTATCAGCAAAAGTTTAACCTAATTAATGCTGACTAGGCCTATGTGAGGAACCCTAATTCTTATTGCTAATAAATACTGATTTTGGAATCTCCATAGAGTATATGTAGTGGTTCATTGTGGGATGGATATGTTTTAGCCAAATCAGGATGTAGAAATATAGATAACTACATGGTATTGTGCCGCACGATGATGTTATTGGCCTATCTATCTCAAATTTAGGATAGAATATTGGCCGCTATATCCCTTAGAAAACATGTCAATTATAAGGGCTTACGCTGTGTCCTAATGTATTTAAAAGAAGATGCATTAAACAAATTTAATTTTTTTCCTTTTTGTGTCTAATTTAGCCTTTTGTTTTTTTCAGTGTATCAATTTAATCCACACTTCAACATGTGGGCTACGCTAAATCAAAAATAGGAACTGAAGATCTCCAGCTGTTTTGCTGCATAAAAAGTCTTCTCGAGAACAGTTTATATAATGCACATGAGGAGTGGAAAAAGTGTGAATTTTTTCACTTATTGAGATATATTTATTTTTTATTGCAATTGAAATTAATGTGTATTTACTATATATGAACTAAATGAATTGCAAAAAAACTCTAAGAAAATTCTTTTTATTTATGCTTTTTATTAAATCTAATGTATCATATATTCTCCAATAAAATGTTTTTGTTGATATAACAGCCTCAATTTCTTTTTATTTTATTTAAAAGGAAAAGCTTAGATGGCTCAGTACAAAAGCCATTGAGTCTAAGGGGGTTATTTACTAAAGAGCCGAAGGATGTAGCCATAGCTTCGGCTAATCCTTTGGCTCACTTCAGCGGAACCGAAGGGCCGCTGAACCGAAGGGCTTCTGTACGGGCTATTCACAATAGCCCATACAGCAGTCAAAAGCAGCTGGACAGCTTAGCCGAGCCAAGGCATATGCCAAAGCAGACCATTCTCCCTGCAAATGGAAACAAATTTTTAAAAAAAAGGTGTGGGGTCCCCCTCCCAATCCATACCAGACCCTTTAGGTCTGGTAGGAAAGTTAGGAGGGGCCCTAAGTTAAAAAGTAAAAAAAGTGTGTGGGGTTACCCCCAAAAGTCATACCAGTCCCTTTAGGTCTGATAGGAATTTTAAGGCCAAAAAATGGGGGGGAAAGTGGGGTCAATCACGATGTCCAGCGATGTCCACAACGCCTCTGATTCGTTGAAATAAAAAAAAACAGATGCCCACCGACCCATCCACTCCGGATGAACCGACTGGTTTGACAGGTGGCTGCCAAATGTAAAAAAATAGGCGGAGCTAGCAGTTACATCACCGCTGGCTCCACCTATTTGTTGACATTGTGCCGGCAGCTGTCAAATGGGTCTTCTCAGGTCCCAGCCAAATGAAAACAAATGGGTGGAGCTAGGCGTGATGTCACAGCCAAATGTGCCCTTTTGTTTTCATTTGGACAGGATCTGCAAGAAGCGATGTGACAGGTGACGAAGGAATGTGAACAGTTAGGTGGAGCTAGCGATGATGCCACTGCTAGCTCCACCCATTTGTTTACATTCGGCCTACATCTGTCAAAACAGTCATTTTGCAGTGGGAGTTCATTAGCTTGGTGGACGTCAGGTTTTTCTTCATTTCGACAAGTTGGCGGTGGTGTGGACATCGCGATTGACCTTTTGATTGCGTCAGTGGATCAATTTTTTGGATTTTTGGGGGGGTTTGG